CTAACACCTTCTTTTGGGTTAACAGAATTCCTTACTCAGATTTCTGGTTCGCGGACTGTTAACAGAGTCATACGATTCCTCGGCTCTGGATACAACCGGTGCCTTGGGACACCATTAATCTCCCAAGTGGCGACTCTGAATAATAATGATAAATCCCGTTCTGATTGTCTTTTAACTGGAAAAAATCCTTTATGCCCTTGCGGGTATAGGCGACCGATTGTCGGAGTCCATGCAGATGGCATAGAGTACAACACACGAAAATATGAAAATCGTGCTAAATTCATGTTTTATGACAATAAAACATCAAAAAATAAGAAACAATCATGGCGAACCGATGACTAGTTTTTATTAAGTCGTTTTTATGGTCCCGCAAAATTATAGGCAACTAAAAGCCGGTCGCCCGTATTCATGCAGATGGGGTGGACTACAGCACACGAAAATCATGAAATCGTGTTGAATCCCAGTTTCATGGCCCAAAAATGCCAAAAAATGAGGAACGATCATGGCGAATTTATAACTATTTTTCATTAGGTCATTTTTATGGTACCACAAAATTTTAGTCGATTGGGAGCCTGTCGCCCGAATTCATGTAGATGACGTAGACTAATCATGTAAATTCATGTTTTATGGCCTTAAAATGCCAAAAATGAGGAACGGTCGTGTAAAAGTGATAAATATTGTTCATTAGGTCATTTTTATGGTCCCACAAAATTGTATGCGATTCGGAGCCGGTTATCCGAATTATTGCACATGAAATCTAGGAATCATGTTGAATTCCTATTTTATGACCCTAAAGTGCCAAAAACCGAGGAACGATCTTAGAGAATAGATGAATATTGTTCATTAGCTCACTTTATGGTCTAACAAAACTTTAGGCAGTTCGACAACGGTCGCCAGAATTCATGCAGCTAGCGTGGATTATAGCACACGAAAATCTAGGGATCATGCTGGATTCCTTTTTTATAGCCCTACAATGCCAAAAAAACAAGGAACAATCATAGCTAAGCGATAACTATTGTTCATAAGGTTATTTTTTATGGTCCCATAAAATGTTAGGCGATGCTGAGCTGGTCGCCCGAATTCATGCAAATGGCGTGGAATATAGACACGAAAATTTGGAAATTCTACTGAATTCCTATTTTATGGCCCCAATATGCAAAAACAAATGAGGAACGGTCATGGCGAAGCGATGACTATTGCTTATTCGTTCGTTTTTATGATCCCGCAAAATTTTAGGCAATTCGAAGCGGGTCGTCTGAATTCATGCAGATGGTGTGAACTATAGCACATAAAAATCTGAGAATCGTGTTGAATTCCTATTTTATGGCCCTAAAATGTCCAAAAAGAGGAATATTCATAGAGCAACGATGATTATTGTTCATTAGGTCATTTTTTCGGAGCCGGTACCGAACTCATGCAGATGGCGTAGACTATAGCACATGAAAATCTAGCAATCATGCCAAATTTCTATTTTATGGCCTAAAATATCAAATAACAAGGAACACTCATGACGAAGCGATGACTATTATTCATTAGGTCATTTTTATGGTCCTACAAAATTTTAGACAATTCAGAGATGGTCGTCCAAATTCATGCAGATGGCGTGGACTATAGATATGAAAATCTGGGAATCGTGTTGAATTTCTATTTTATGGCCCTAAAATACCGAAAAAATGAGGAACTGTCATGGCTAAGCGATGAGTATTTCTCATTATGTCATTTTTATGTCTCGCAAAATTTTAGGGGATTCAGAGACGGTCGAATTCATGCAGATGGCGTGGACTATAAGATAAGAAAATCTGGGAATCGTGCTGAATTCATATTTTATAGCCCTAAAATGCGAAAAGATTAGGAAGACTCATCGCTAAGCCATGACTATTGTTCATTAGGTCATTTTTTATGGTCGTGCAAATTTAGGCGATTCGGAGTCGGTCGCCCGAATATATGTTGATGACTTGGACTATAGTGCAAGAAAAATCTGGGAATCGTGCTGAATTCATATTTTATAGCCCTAAAATGCGAAAAGATTAGGAAGACTCATCGCTAAGCCATGACTATTGTTCATTAGGTCATTTTTTATGGTCGTGCAAATTTAGGCGATTCGGAGTCGGTCGCCCGAATATATGTTGATGACTTGGACTATAGTGCAAGAAAAATCTGGGAATCGTGCTGAATTCATATTTTATAGCCCTAAAATGCGAAAAGATTAGGAAGACTCATCGCTAAGCCATGACTATTGTTCATTAGGTCATTTTTTATGGTCGTGCAAATTTAGGCGATTCGGAGTCGGTCGCCCGAATATATGTTGATGACTTGGACTATAGTGCAAGAAAAATCTGGGAATTGTGCTGAATTTCTATTTTACGGCCCTAAATGACAAAAAAAAAAAGGAACGGTCCCGGCGAAGCGATGACAATTGTTCATTAGTTAGGTCGTTTTTCATGGTCTCGCAAACTTTAAGCGATTCGAAGCCAATCACCCGAATTCATGCAGATGACGTGAACTATAGCACATGAAAATCTGAGAATCATGTTGAATTCCTGTTTATGGCCCTAAAATGCAAAAAATAAGGAACGGTAAGAAAGAAGCGATGACTATTGTTCATTAGATTGTTGTTGATGGTGCAACAAAATTTTAGGCGATTCGGAGCTGGTCGCCTGAATTCATGTAGATGGCATGGACTATAATACATGAAAATCTTGGAATCGTACTAAATTCATGTTTTATTGCCCTAAAACCCCAAAACAACGAGGAACGGTCATGCCGAGCAATGACTATTGTTCATTAGGTCATTTTTATGGCCCCGCAAAATTTTAGGCGATGCAGATCTGATCACCCGAATTTATGCAAATGGCGTGGACAATAGCACACGAAAATCTAAGAATCGTGTTAATTCTTGTTTCATGGCCCTAAAATGCCAAAAAACTGAGGATTGATCATGATGAATTGATAACTATTGTTCATTTGGTCGTTTTTAAGGTCTCGCAAAAATTTTAGACGATTCAGAGTTGGCCACCCGAATTTATGCAGATGATGTGGATTATAATGCAAGAAAATCTAGGAATCGTGCTTAATTCTTATTTTATAGTACTAAAATGACAAAAGCGAGGAGCAGTCATGGCAAATCGATGACTATTCTTCATTGGGTTATTTTTTTGGTCCCACAAAATTTTAGGCGATTTGGAGTCGGTCGCTCGAACTCATGCAGATGGCGTGGAAGATAACACAAGAAAATCTAAGAATCGTGCTGAATTCCTGTTTTATGGTCCTAAAATTCCAAGAAAACAAGGAATGTTCATGGCGAAGCGATGACTATCATTCATTAGGTCGTTTTTATGGTCCTGCAGAATTTTAGACTATTCGGAGTCAGTTGCCTAAATTCATATAGATGGCATGGATCATAGCACATGAAACTGAGAGTCGAGCTGAATTCATGTTTTATGGTGTTAAAATGCCAAAAAAATGAGGAACGGCCATAGCGAAGCGATGACTATTGTTCATCATGTCCTTTTTTATGGTCCTGCAAAATTTTAGGCTATTCGGAGCTAGTCGCTCGAATTAACGCAGATGGCGTGGACTATAGCACACGAAAAAAATCTGGGAATCAAGGTGAATTCATGTTTTATGGCCCTAAAATGCCAAAAAAAAACAACGAACAGTCATGGTGAAGTGATGACTATTGTTCATTAGGTCGTTTTTATGGTCCTGCAAAAATTTAAGAAAACTCCAAAAAACGAGGAACGATCATGGCGAAGCGATGCCTATTGTTCATTAGATAATTTTTTATGGTCTCGTAAAATTTTAGGCAATTCATGCCGGTCACCCGAATTCATGCAGATGGTATGGAGTATGGACTATAGCACATGAAAATCTGGGAATCGTGCTGAATTCTTATTTTATGGCCCTAAAATGTCCAAAGAAGATGAATGGTCATGATGAAGCAATGACTATTGTTCTTTAGGCCATTTTTTATAGTTCCGCAAAATTTTAGACGATTCGGAGCCGGTCGCCCGAATTCAAACAGATGACGTGAACTATAGCACACAAAAATCTGAGAACTATGCTAAATTTCGATTTTATGGACCTTAAACTCCGAAAAACAAGGAACGGTCATGGGAAACGATGACTATTATTCACTAGGTCAATTTTGATGGTCAAGCAAAATTTTAGGCGATTCAGATTCGATCGCCCGAATTCGTGAAGATGGCATGGACTATAGCACACGAAAATATGAGAATCATGATGAATTCCTTTTTTATGGCCCTAAAATTCAAAAAGACGAGGAACGGTCATGGCAAAGCGATAACTATTGTTCATTATATCGTTTTTTTTAATAATTCCATAAAATTTTAGGTGATTCAGAGCCGATCGCCCAAATTCATGCAGATGGCATGGTATAGCACACAATAATCTAATAATCGTGGTGAATTCCTATTTTATGGCCTTAAAATGTTAAAATGCTAAAAAAGAGGAAAGGTCATGACGAAGCGATGAATATTATTCATTAAGTCGTTTTTCATGGTCCCGCAAGATTATAAGTGATTCGGAACCGATCCCCCGAATTCATGCAGATGACATAGACTATAGTACACGAAAATCTAGGTATCGTGTTGAATACCTATTTTATGACCCTAAAATACCAAAAAACGAAGAATGATCATGACGAAGCTATGATTACCAGGTCTCATGAATTTCAAAGGAAGAGACATTGGTACAATAAAAGAAATGATGGTACAGTTCTCACGAGTTTGTCAATTTGTATTATACATTAGAGAGGTTTCCTTGAATAATTTCAATCAGTTAAAAACGGAAAATTTTCAAACTTAACGACATTTTTTCTTGTAATAACTCTAAAGACTGAATAACTGATCGCGACAACATAAATTAAAAACGGTTATCGAATGCACTCGTCATCAAGTATTCTAATCTTGACAACACAGGAGATGATATATGCGTTAGCCACCATAAACTAAAATCCGTAGTCACGTGGAGGCACATGATTGACATCAAACATATAAAAAGCTGCATTTTTCTGATGATCTGATCCTATTTGATGAATAGCAGTAAATAAGTATTGAACCTGTGATCTCTTGGCATCAATGAAGAATGTTGTTGATCACAAATGAATAAAGTATCTGGAGAAAACAAGAAAATACAAAACCATAAAAAGGTAGTAAATGCAGTTAAAACGTCAAAGCACAGGAGCCGACGAAAGCAAGCAGGGGAAGAAGGATCAACACCATGAGTTTCTTTTCCCTGCTGCACGTCTCAAAGTGGGGCAGGCCAGACTGCAAAACGATTTCAATGTTGTCACATAACTGCTCCCTGATCACAATTACCATAACTGATGAGCTACATGTAGAGTCCTTCACTATTTCAAGCCCTTATTGTTGCAGCTTTGTGCACCATAGTTTCCTTGTGGATTTGGTGACAACTCTTCTCAACAAGGTCAAGTAGCTTCTCCAAATTAAAAGCCCAGGAATTTAAAATGTCATTGCTGTCTTTGCCAGGTTGAAAACAGACTATACCCACAGGTCTGTCAATCTTTGCTACCAGTGCTTTTGATACAACCATTTCTGAAAGGTGCTTTTCAGCGTCCTGAGATGAGAGAACAAAAGATGAGTAAAATCAGAAGAATCATGTTATTAAGTAAAAGAAACAATCTCATTGAATCAAGAATGAAGAAGGAACATGTAAACAATGTTCTAAATAACATTGAAGAAAGAAGTTGGGGCTCAGATGCGCACACAATTTGATCAAGAAGATCATACAGAACTTGATAACAGACATGCACACACAATTTGATCAAAGCCATGAAATAGTAACTTAGGCAGTATCATAGTTTTTACTTCCCAAACCACTCAAACTAACTAACTACACCAGCAGAATTAACTGCCAACGGTGTTTTTGGGTTACTATTGACATAAATACAAGGGTGGTCTCTAATTTGAGAGCTTGTAGTAGCTACTATGCTGATTCATGTCAATACTGTTTATTATTGTTAACTCAAAGATATTCTTTACCTTTTACATTTTACGTCTTGAAGGAGCACAATTAACGTGCTAACCATGAGTTGCAAAAGCTAGAGATGTATGCTACTACATACCGTTTTTTCAAGAAACAATGTTAGCGACATGTCGGAAAAGAAGATACGGTAACATGCTAGTTGTTGTTAGAATCCTTCTAAATAACAAATAGAAAGGCACCAACCTGAATAGTGATATGTAATAAATAACTGTTCTCTAAGGATGTGATATGTAATTTGGAAGAGTGAGTACCAACCTGAATAGAAAGGCACAATAAATCTGCTAATCTCTTCAAAGTTATCCTCGAGTAGTATTTTGAGACAACAAGAATGTTCTGCAAGGAAATAGTAATAGGAAAAATGAATCAATAGAAAGTTAGAAACTATAAAAAGAAGGAAAATGGAGATTTGCAGCATAGGGTAGTACATGTTCTATAACTCTCAGTCTGAGATCTTCAGCTGCCTTGTCACCCAAAGATCCACCTAGCATATTCTTTTCATTTTCAAACTCATCCTTGAAAGTATTCCATAATGATGTCCACTGAATGACTTCCATGGTAATTAATTGTTTCAGAAGCAGCCTACAACAGCAGAAGGATGGAAATTTATTGTCGACTTTCATATCGAAGTTACCCATAAGAGATGAGAATATTTTCCAACAATATCTCTAATTGAAATGCCAACTTCAAGGTTTATAAAAGACTGGAGGACGCTGCAAAGAGTATCACATGGTAAATTCATCCCAAGCCATTACTTAATATTTTCCTTTAATAGTTCTACTTGGAAGAATTGGTTTCAGAATCTATGTTAATTAAGATAAACACCTTGATCATTGAATTGCAATGATTTTTTTTTGAATTGATAACTTTTGTATATATTAATAACATCAGTACATAGGTTGTACTAAAAACCAAATTTACAAATAGGTGGTGAGTAGATGTGCTGGTGTGCAACCTAGCAAGATCCTAGTATGTCTACGATTGTCAATGTATCTTCTGTGTAATTTTGTTTACACCAAAAACAAAAAAGAAGAATACAATTGAGTTTGATCTTCTGTACTGAGTTGCTTCTATCTTCAAAACAACTAGCATTCCTTTCCCTCCAAACTGTCCACCAAATACAAGCCGGGAGAGTCCTCCATCTATCTCTGTTAGTTGCTTCAGCACCAGCTTCTTCCCAACTATAAAGAACTTCATTAATCCTGCATGGCATTATCCATGAAATACCCCTAAGACTAATAAAGATTTTCCATAGTTGGTCTGTTATCTTGCAATGTAGAAATAAATGGCTAACAGTCTCAGCGTTTTCCCCACATAGGAAACATCTTGAACATAGAGAAATTCCTCTTTTTATGAGATTATCCTGGGTTTAATACAACCTCCTTTGCTAGTAGCCAAGAGAAACATGCTACCTTATATGGAATTTTTGTTCTCCATATATGCTTCCATGGCCAAACATCTATCTGAAGATCATTTTGATTCAAAATCTTATATGCATCCTTCACCTGATAGACCCCTCCTCTATTGTGCCTCTGCCACCAAAGTGAATCCACCCCTTCCTGTAATCCTTTAAATGCTTCCAGCTCTTTGTAGAGGTCAGCTAATCTTGTTATCTCCCAGTCATTCAACTGTCTTCTAAGAGTGAGTTCTCATCCTTGATAACTCCACATATCAGCCATTGTCCTATGCTGGTTTTGTGCCAAACCAAATATATCGGGGTATCTTTCCTTTAGGCATCCATGTCCCAACCAATTATCGTTCCAGAATGATGTGTTCCTTCCATTGTTCACTCTTATGGAAGAGTGAATCTTCATTATAGGCCAAAGTTCTCTAATGGATTTCCACACACTAACTCCATATGATGTGCTGACTTTGTTTGACACCCAGTTATTTTCCTCACCGTACTTAGCTTTGATCACTTTGCTCCATAAAGTTTGAGGTTCTTGAGAATATTTCCATAGCCATTTCATTCTAAGAGCCTTGCTTTGATTCTTCAAATTTCTTATTCCTAAACCACCTTGTTTTTTGGCCATTGTGAGGNATTCTAAGAGCCTTGCTTTGATTCTTCAAATTTCTTATTCCTAAACCACCTTGTTTTTTGGCCATTATGAGGATCTTCCATTTAACTAAATGGAAAACCTTTGTCTCCTTATTCCCTTGCCAAAGGAAGGATCTTCGGAGTTTGTCCAGAGTCTCTGTATGATTCCGGCAGGGATTGGGAACAAAGACATCATGTAAGTAGGAAGTGAGTCTGATAATGAGTTGATTAAAACTAGCCTTCCCCCCATTGATAGGTATTGCGATTTCCATCTTGACAGCTTCTTCTCACACTTTTCAATAACTAAATTCCAGATCTCTTTGGATTTGGATCTTGCACCAAGAGGCATCCCAAGGTATACAATAGGTAGGGACCCTACTTCTCCTCCCATTATCTGTGTTAGTTGCTCCATGTTATTAACTTCATAAATGGGATAAATATGGCTCTTTCTCCAGTTGATGTGTAGTCTCAAAATTCCCTCGAATAAGACCAAGATAATCCTTAGAAACCTAAATTGCTCCTCTTCAGCATCACAGAAGACTAGAGTATCAACAGCATATTGAAGATGTGTAATCTCTAAACTGTTTGCCCCATTCCTGTGAACCTCGAAACCTTTAACCCATCCATTGACTTTGGCCGTTTTAATCATGTTGTGCAGTTCTTCCATGGCTATAATGAATAGAAAGGGAGATAAAGGATCACCTTGTCTTAGATCTCTGTGTGCATGGAAGAAACCTTCAGGAGATCCATTTATGAGAATGGAGAATGTAACAGTAGATGTGCAAAATTTCATCCAACTGATCCATTTCTGCCCAAAACCCATTTGTTCTAACAATTTCAATAGAAAGCTCCAGTTGACATGATCATAAGCCTTCTCAATATCTAGTTTGCATAGGATTCCGAGTTCTTTCTTTTTGATTCTTGAATCCACAGCTTCATTGGCAATCAACATTGCATCTATTATTTGTCTTCTTTTGATGAAAGACATTTGTTGAGCATCTACTAGTTTTCCCACCACACTCTTAAGTCTTTCAGTCAAGACTTTTGAGAGCAGTTTGTAGAAACTCCCTATCAAACTGATTGACCTGAAATCTCTCAATTCTTTCGCACCTGTCTTCTTTGGAATCAAGGCTATGTATGTTGCATTGAAGCTTTTCTCAAACATTTCCTGGGAATGGAAGTTGTTGAAGGCCTCCATGATGTCGTGCTTCAGAATATCCCAGCACTTAATGAAAAAACCCATTGTGTATCATGACTTCTTGTTCCTCAAATTTACTCTGTAAAGACTCCTTCTCTGATTCAGAGATTTTGGAACTGTTTTCGAAATTGACTGTCGGTCTCCACTCTTCAGGTTCTGTGTATAACCCCTTGTAGAATTCAATGATCACATTCTTTATTATGTCTGGCTCCTCTACTGCTTCATCTTGAATCATTAGTTGATCAATATTGTTGTTTCTCTTGTGTGCATTGACAGTACGATGGAAAAACTTTGTATTCCTATCCCATTCTTTGAGCCACAGAGCTCTTGATTTCTGTCTCCATGCACTTTCTTCGTTCTTGAGGTGATCCTCAAACTCCATGAGGGTAGCTGCCTTCCTCACTGATTCCTCCTCTGTCAAAGCTCTTAATTATTGTGTTGCCTCAAAACCTACCAATTGACTCAGCAATTTTGATTTTTGCAATCCCAGATTTCCTTTACAACTTCTGCTCCATTCTTTTAGCTTGCCTTTGAGAGCTTTTAATTTGCAAGCTAAAATATAGTCTGGTCTTCCTGAAAATTCAAAAGATGTCCACTAGTTTCTAATTCTGTCATCAAAACCTTCCACGTTCAGCCACCAATTTTCAAACTTAAAGTATGATTTAGCTTGTTCCAAGGCACCACATCATAAAGCCACTGGTGTGGTCAGAAATCAGCCTTTGTTGGAGAGTTTGCTTGATATTTCTGAAGCTTTCATCCCATTCTTCTGAAATGAGAAATCTATCAATTCTAGAAGCGGTTGTATGATTATCCCCTTTGAACCAAGTATAGTAGCCTCCTTCGAGTTGAAGATCTATCAACTCCATGTCTTCTATAAAATTTGAGAATTCCATCATCTCTCTGGACCTCCTCGAGCATTCCCGTTTTTCAGAAGGGTACCTTGTGACGTTAAAATCACCACAGACTACCAAAGGGCCTTCCCTCACTGCACCAATTTCTCTCCATACTGTTCTTCTTTCTATTCTGCAATTCGGAGCATACACTCATGTTATATGACATAGAAAATTCTGTAAAAGTGCCTCGAACTTGCATGTCAAAGTGTATGCACCAGTCTGTAACACCTCTCCTTTCCCTACTCTGCAATCCCATAGTAACAAAATCCCCTCTTTCGTGCCGTTAGCTTCTAAACATGCGTACCTCACCCATCTCCCACCCTAAATTTTATTGACTATTTCCTTGATATCCCCCTCCACTTTTGTCTCATGCATACAGATAATGTCTGTCTTCCAATTCAGCACTTGACTTTTTATGATCTCCCTTTTCTTATTGTCATTTAATCCCCTTACATTCCATGAAATTAAATTGACCTTCATATTGCAATAATAGATAGATCTCTTCCCCTACTCCTTTTCCCATCACTCTTGAATTTGACATCAAAGGAGGTTAATCCTTTTAATTCCAGTGAGCCTTTGAACCTTTGTTTCTTCACCTCCATCTCTGTCTCCACTCTTCTAACTTGTCTGCAACTATCAATTTGCATTAGTAACTCCAATGCTTCTTCTTCATGGCCTTGAAAATCTACTCCAAAAATTTTCCCCAATTTGATCATATTTTGATGGACCCATAGTGTTGCATCCATCTCTTTATCCATTACTGGATTGGGTTGTTGTACTGATATAGGAGTAACCTCCTCGATTTACCAATCTTGGATAGAGTTGAAGTGCTTTAGCTGTTGTTGGTGCTCCAATGCATTTTCAACTTGATCCTCCCCCATCTTTTTGTTTATGGTATGCTCCCTTGCCTTCTGTCCCAATATTCCTATCTTTGCTTCACCTTCTGGCTGATCGCAACTCATATGTGTTGCCTGTGGCATAATTTCAAGGTTTGCAATGGGAATTGGATCCCCTAGGTTGGATTCTTTGACTTTCAAGTAAGAGGTGCATCCCAGTTCCTCAATACAAGGCGTCAGTCTAATTTTATCAGTGGCCTCACACAAGAGATCATTAAAAATGACTTGTGCAGCCAAATCAGACCCATTTGATTTCAGCTCATTATTCGCCGCATTCATGCCCAGATTTGTCGAACTTGGACCTTGCGTATGTTGCACACGTGCCTTTCCCTTATTATTATTTTGCAATATGGTGCATCCCACTTGGTCGCCCAGGTTTCTCTCTGCTCCAAAGCTGTGTGTGTTTTTCGACGACTTCAGCTTAAATCTTGCCTGTTTTTCAGCCCAGATTGGGATGAAAAATTTGGTCCCTTCCCTTTCAATCCCAATCTCATTAGGAATCTTTCTGCCATCACCAACAATTTGAATTCTAGCCCACTTAAGGTGATTTTTTAGATCAGTTTCTTCTTCAGTAGCTATCCATCCCCACAGAGATCTCCTATTTCTTTGAAGATCTTTTGTGACCACAGATGTAAGGGAATCCCCATGGCTCTAATCCAGCATGTTTCCACAATTTGAGAGTTTGGAATGCATCCAGCAGTGTAGTTCCACCATTCCAGATGGAGCTAGAACTTTTCCATCTCCAATCTCCTTGCAGAATCTGCTCAGCCATGTATCTGTTCGGAAACTCAAATAGAAACATGTTGCCAGTCATGTCATACACGTTGACTCCATAGGCTTTGTTCCATGAAGCAGTAGCTCATCGCCTTATGTCTGCTAAAGTGGGTCTCTGAGTGATTTCTTTCCCAAAATACCCAATAATGCATCTTTTTAGTAAACCTGTGTCCTCCGCTCCTGAAGGATCCAAAACAGAGATATCTCCATTGTCTGTACTGACATTTGCCTCTCGAAGGGTATTGGATTGCCATTTACTCTCCTTAACTGCTTTGACATAAGGATAGTTGTCCACAGTGTTTCTGGGTGGTACTGTGGTATTCAACTTGAGGGCATGATAGATGAATCTTTCTATCTTAGCTATTATGTCTTTCCAGCCTGCATTCAAGGCTAACTCTGGGATTATAATAACTGACCTCCCTTCTCCCTTTAGTGACAGAATACTCATATATCTTCCATGAGCATTAAATTTCCTAGTGCAAAAATGTCTTGTCATTTGGTCCTTATACTTCCATCTCTTCACTAAATTCTTTTGATCTGTCGAGGCTTCTTTAAGTACATAGCAAATCCATTCCATTGTCTTTCTACCCATGGATAAGCGTCTCATCATGTTGCGGCTTTTCTCCACCCATTAAAACCATATATCTTTGTTGGAGTTCCATCGGGTGATGTCGAAAGATTTGAATCTGACGTTGAAGTATATCCTGTTGTCTCCCATATTGTACTAACCAGCTGCTCAGGTTATGAAAATTATAGAGGGTGTTTGGTAATAATCATAGTGGGTGAATACTGATTCCGAAGGAGATGTTTGGCTCCGTTAAGAAGCTCCCCGTAATGGTATTCTGCAGACTTGAGAAGAAGAGAGAATGAAAAATGATTGAAAACTGGCTGATTCCGAAGGAGATGTTTGGCTCCGTTGAGAAGCTCCCCGTAATGGTATTCTGCAGACTTGAGAAGAAGAAGAGAGAATTTTGTTTGGCAACTGAATGAAAAATGATTGAAAACTGGTCGGAAAAAAGCTTCCCATCGCCGGAGAAAAGTAAAAGTGGTCGGAATCTAGAACTGCAAGGATGGGTGGGGTCGGAAAAGGGTGATGAAGAGGCTGTCCCGAAGAAAAAAGTTGAAAACTTGCCCGGAGTAGGCTCACGCGACGGTGCGTGGTTGAGTGCTCGTCGGTGCTTGGCCGTGCGTGGAAGATCCGTCGTCGGAGCTGTTTGCAGGGGTAGGCTCGCGTCACTAGTGGCTCTCCGATGGTGTTTGTATAAACTCAGAATTCCAGGTTCTCAGGCTCCTCGAGGAGTGTGCCTGAGAGCAAATTGAAAAGATTTATTGTACAGTATTTGTACTTTGTCCCTTGAATTGCAATGATTTTATTGATGCATTGTAAAGAATGAGTTCTAAAAGTTCATCAAGAGCAGCCTCGCCACTCAACTCATTGCCACACTATATACACTACATATATGGCTAATAAATCCAAAATCATTTTTGATTAAGAAAATCCCAAAGGATTACTTGATATTTTCTTTACAATTTTTAATTAAAAACATAAGTTCAGAAACTAAACATTGTTAATTCAGAAAAATGTTTGAATTATGATATACACCTTTGATGTTTGTGAAAAAATGATGTTTCAATGAAGAAGCAGCCTCATAAAAGACCATGTTCTTGAAGTCCATCTCAAAGCAGCCTCACCATTCAACTTATTACAAACATATACATTAGAAGTTATATCAAACATGCAACCTATTACATTTGTATCTAAACATCTTTAATAAGGATTCAAGTTATTATGAAACTCATACCTAACTTGCATAAAGAGAACATAAGTTAAATCATGGGTCTCCTTCTCAATTCTATTACAAAGCACTTTATTACCGAAAGGTCCGTCGATACAAGAGTAGGGTATATTTTCCAGAGAGGTTGCTGAAGATGGTTGGCAAGTAGTGACAACCTCTTCCAGACGAATGAAAGCTAATTGTTTATCCTCAGCTCCATAAACATAAGAGTGCAAATTTCAATTTTAAAGAAAAACCTGAAATGAGGGATCTCTGAAAGATTCTTGTCCTCCAAAGTTGCGTTATGAAGACTTGACTGCATCGGATCATGAGGTGACAGCACCAAGTACCAGCAAATTTTCCTCAACACCTACATAATATAGAAGAGGAATTCAGCATGCTTGTGGGGCAACCAAGTATCATTATATATTTGCGTCCCTGCTTTTGAAGAAGTCCAGTGGCATTAATTCATTAAATCAAAAAGTTATTTTGCTTCGTTTTTGTCAAACATGATTCAAACATCTAGTTGTTCTTGCAATTATTCCTTCTTCCAACATTTTGAAAACAAAAAATGCAATAAGTCAAGCTCCTATTGACATACATTATCTCACCACTCTGAGTTGGAAATGCTTAAGATTTCAAAGATCATCATGTTCCCGTTAAGTTCTGAACTTATAGGATATATCAATCATACAGCACATTTTTCTCCTGACATACCAGCAATCCAAAACTACTTAATCACAAAGGGATGGACTTGAGCATGCTTATAATAGTGTTTTATTCTTTTCAATTTTTATTACTTATTACCATGTGATTTTCTTCCTCACAAATGAGAAGGATTTCTATTCTTTCTTCCTTAGATTAAAAGGAAAAAGACTACCTGCACAAGACTTTTCTCAACTCATTAGTATCTTAAAGAGCTGATACCAAAGGAAAAACTTTCACTTTCTTCTTTACAAAATTAATCCATTTCCCTGCACACCCCCCCCCCCCC